CAACACTTCTGCTTAGTGGCGGCTACGTTATCCTCATCACCGTCCTTACAGCAGCCGAGGAAAGAACTCTTGCAAGGCTCAATGAGGGACGCCGATCGGTCTGCGCAGCTTTTGTCGGATGGGTTCGACCCCATTTTGCAGCAGGTTACTTTATGGAAGGCGTTACTATCACCACCGTCTGTACAACACCCGAGGAACGAGCTCTTGCAAGGCTCGGAGAGGGACGTGGCTCTCTCGGCGCAGGTTCGACTCGACGGTTTTGTTCCCTGCTCACAACATGATATTTTAACATCTTCGCTGTTCTGGGCTCCGTCTGTACAGCAACCGAGGAAGGCACTCTTACACGGCTCAGTCAGGGAGGCGGATCTGTCAGCACAGCTTCGGTCGGATGGGTTCGTGGCCATAGCACAGCACGTCTTTTTAACGGCGTCGTTGTCGCTGTCTTTGTCGGGGTCCGTACAGCAGTCGAGGAAGGCAGTCTTGCACGGCTCTGAGAGCGTCTCGGCTCGTTCCGCACAGCTGTTCTCTGAGGGGACTTTACCCATTTCACAACATATCTTGTTGGTGGTTCCATTGCTGTCTGTATCTGGAATTCAACAAAGAGATGCATTTGTCAAGTATTTAAAAACTTAAGTAAGCTTATGGGATGCTGCATAAGATGACCATTTCCATGTTTGTTTTAAAATAATTTCAATTCAATAATTACGTAAAAGTAAGACAATTTTGTTAATATCACCAGTGGTACTGTTTTACAACCAAAGTGAATGCACATTTAATCTTTCATCAATATACATTTTTCGTTCGGACATTTCTATTTTGTGTTCGGAAACACATTATAAACTAAAAAAAAAAAGATTTTCTTAAAGAGAAAAACTCCCTTTACCATGTGTTGTATATCCGGATTGGTAAAATCATTGCAGGCGCAATCGAAAATATGGTGCAAATACTGGGAGGCGATTGACAGTCATCACCAAAAGAAGGCTTCTTTCATATACACACATATACTCTCCCACATGCACACATGTATGCACGCATGCGCGAGAACACGAACACACACGTACATACCGCGCGCGCGCACACACACACACGCACACACACACAACCACACTCACACAAACACATATGCACGCACATAAACACGCACACACTCACAAGCACCCTCTCTCACTTTAACGCACACACGTAGTTACCTTTCACATACTCCAGGTTCGGCCCACAGGTGGTCACCTGGTCTATAGGCAGACAGACGTCAGTGCTCCAGGCATAGCCCTCGTTACAGTTGACCACGGAGTACGAGGTGGGTAGGCACAGGAAGAACTTGGTGCAGTTCAGAGGGTGAGGAAACATCGTCTGCTCGGAGTCCTTCGGGCAGGTGAAGAATCGGTCTTCTATCGGAATTCTGTCGCCTAGGAGAATAACATATGGATGTTTTACTATGTTAGGGATCGCTTGCTTGTTCAGGACATTTTTGTTTTAATATTTTTTAATGTTTGATTATACTTAGGAAATAAATTAGAATTAAAAGAAAACACAAAAACACTTAACTGAAATAGTACTTTCACATTCACTCGCTCACTTGTTCTCTCACTTGTACACGCACATTTAAAAATAAATAATAACATTGCAATACATAGGCACAATACAAACATATATTGCAAAGAAAAAAGACATGTCTTAGTGGTTTGGTCAAAACCAACCCGTACAGAGGTGGGGTTGAAGAAACGGTCGTTTGAAAGAACGACCGTTTTTGTTAGAGATGAATATTTGCTCTAAATCAAAAGTTGATCCAGATTCTGTCATTTTTCAAGGGTCAGTTAAAAAGATAACAAGGTGCCCTTTTACAGAAAAAGAAACCCATTTTAAAATAACCCTCTACAGTCTTGAAAAGCTGAATCTCACCATTTTGTCTACATTCCCCTTTCTCCACCATATCTTCAATGAGCTGACAGCCTTTGCCGACCTCGTCAAAGAACGTCCCCGCGGCACAGCTGAACTCCCCAAGGAACTTCCCGTCCTCGCACACAACAAACTTTTGGCAAGTGGACGGATCGGGATAGTACCCGCTCTCTCGCCCATCAGCGCAGTCGACCGCCGTGGGGGGTCCGGTTACCACGTTACCGTTATCGCACGTGTCGACATTGACGTCCCAGTCACAGATCCCCCTGGCGGTGCTGTAGACCAACCCCGGGGCACAGTCGTAGAGGACCCACTCCAGGTTGGTGCACACGTAGAACTGGCGGCAGTCGTTGAGGTTGACTTTCTTCTCCCCAGTCTCTCCGGCCGTGCAGGGCTCACGGGGCGCAGGCGTCGTGGTGGTGAGGGGCCCGGATGTAGTGGCGTTTCTCTCTGTAGAATACAATCTTTAGCTATGCATTAAGACAATAATAAGTATGAACAGTAAAAATATCTCTCCTTAGTAACGTCTGAAACTTTTGAAGTAAATCGATTATTCAATTATAATTTTTCATTGTTTGGATGACTGAATGAAAGGAGTCTTCGTTTATGAATATGTAATACAACGTACGTCTTTTACTAAAAATAATGAGAATAAAAATCCAATTCGTACAAGGTACAAATTTAAAAAGTCTACGATTAATGTATATTTTGGAATGAAAACGTACGTGCGTTGTGTCTAAATTTGACACAAATAAAACACGACAACTTAATCCATTACATCACCGGTTCTTTGCCAGTTACCCCATATTTGACATTTAACGGGAAGGTTTTGTAAATGAACGCTAAAAATCGCGGACTTTAACTGACCCGTCGGATCAATCACTTTTCCGTTGCTATCACAGTGGCTCAGGTGCAGCATGAAGACACAACCAAAACTGGAGGGATTACTATCAAAGCCAAATTGGTCCGGGCAGGTCATCAGAGACTTGACGAACTTCCCGTAGCTGTCCAGGATACAGCTGTAATACTGGGAGCATTCAGTGGGGTGAGGGTAGTAACCAGGACCTGGGCACACGAACGGCTTCTCTTTGTCTGAGTCCTCTGATACCCGGCTTCCTGGAAATGAAATGAAATGAAATGAAATGAAATGAAATGAAATGAAATGAAATGAAATGAATGGGCTTCGGTCGATATCCCCAGTAAACAAGGTCAGTCGGCTTAACACTCTCTGCCTGGTCTTTCTGGATTTGTTAATTCCTGAAAAGACCAAACCTTCCTGGCTCCAGTTTCACAAAAAAAAACTTGAGTCTGTTCCCTGGCTTAGTTGACTAGGATTTCCATGAGAGGACTGTAACACTGCTCCTGATAGGGTAAGATGTACCCATGTGACCCTGTAACCTTGGTAATTAAGTTCTTAGCCAGGGAACCTGACTTAAGTTTTTTGTGAAACTGGGGCCTGGGGAGTGGCATACGCCCCCCCTCCCCGAATGTCGTCCTTGGGATTATCATTTACAGTTTCCAAGAGCATCCCACCTCCTAGGGCCATTCTGTAAGTGATATATTTTAAGCGAGGGGACTGCATTTTTACATGTGTATTGGCCTTTGGTCTAACCATGCAATGACCATACTGACGAATATGGATTCAGTACTTGTTTACCACACTGTTACTATGACAATAACGTATTGACAATATCAAGATGTGTGGCTGGGATTGGCCGGGAACATGGCACAAAAGAGCGGTCCATTCGAACCTCCTAACCCCCCCATCCCCCGGCTACAGACCTGTGTGTCATGACCATGAACATCGTATATTATGGAATGGAACACTGCCTACCATCAGCAAGGCATTTCCCGGCATTAATCTCGAACGTAGCGCTATTACAGCTGACAGTGTAGGCGTTGAAGAAGTAGCCCAGGCCGCATTTCATTTCTTCCAGTTGGCCGTTCGTGCATTGGTAGAAAACAATGCAGCTCTCGGCGTCCGGGTACCAGAGGTTTCGCTTTCCCGTACAGTTGAATGGTTCTGGTTCTGTCTTGATTTCTGAAATCATATAAAGTACCACTTACGGTACCTGGTGATTTGAAAGGCGCGCGTGCGCCCACACACACACACACACACACACACACACATTTAGGATCAGTATCAAATTTCTAAATGCACCCGCCTGATGGACCGATTACATTTCATTGCATTTGTTTAACTGAACTAGTACTGCTGTTCTGAAATTGAGCGCAAAACAAGGGTAACATTTTGTGATTCTAAACTTTATTTTCATTTCGCTACGTATTCACTCGAAGGCTGTCTTATTTTCATGAGCAGCATACACTGGGCATAGAGGGACGAAACAGCGCACAGGCGGTTGTAACAAGAGATTCCTAAATTTGTTCTCTTGGAAGACACAACTTATTATTTAGGTGAATGGTAAATAGCCCTTGGACATAACGTAATTTTGTCCATGAACAGCCGTACCCCTGCAGGTGAGTTGGTCATCCTCGAGTTCATATCCACTCGGACATTCACATTTGTATCCGCCCAGGTTGTTCTTACACGTGTGACTACAGTCGCCGTTCCTGAGCGCGCATTCGTCATCGTCTTGAAATTAATATGAGGTTGTAAAACTTAATTGTTTTGATACGAAAACTTTTTCCAAAGCAACAAATACCGACGTTAAATGGAGAGGCACCTCCAGTCATAATATCATTGGACTGACCTTGAACGTAGCCCGTTTGATATTTATTTAAGCATGAAGTACAAAATGTACGCCCATCTAAATTCCAAAAGGACCAAATTATGGGTAGTAGATTTTGGTTTTGTCATATGTACACTTCCATTTGTGAAGTATTACAAAGATATGTTTATATTGTTACTCCACTGAAAGAAAAGAATTTTTAAAAATCACCTTCGCAAGTCTTCCCGTCGCTACCCAGAACATAGCCCGCCGAACAGGAACATTTGACACCGCCGTTAACATTCGTACAGGTGTGGGAACAGCCGCCATTGTTAACGGCACAGTCACCGTTGTCTGGAGTGATGACTAATAAGAAAATGTAACACGTGTCTTCCTTTCGTGGCAGTTCAAGTCGAGTACATGCATGAAATTTGTTATTTCTTTATTTTTATTTTGTTAAATGGAACATCATCAGAGCACTAGTGCTGTCATTTTGAAATGTGACTGACAGACGACAACATGAATAGATACAATTCCTGGAAACAGGCATTACTTGCTTGTCGATTATTGGCTTACAAAAGTATGGTAATGGGTGTAAACATCTTGGCATTGTATTTATGCACTTTGCGTGGAGCCATGAGGGCAAAGTTATAAAACCTGCTCCGTTACACACTTGGCGTTCTACATTACAAATTTCTTTGTACTTGTAAATATCAATTTTTTCGCCTTAAGTATTTTAGGTATCATTCCAAGCACAACTTGATTCGCGGATCTTAGTCAAATCTAGTCAGTGTCTATGAGGGGATTAGGCGGCATGCTTTAAAGTGAGTCGGCCATATTTGATTCGCGGATCTGTTACTCCGCGGAAAAACTTGTTCAGAATACGCCCTTAGCTAAAAATGGAGCCAAAAACTTAAAAGAGATCAGTCTTACCCCTGCAGGTCAGTTGGTCATCCTCGAGTTCATATCCACTCGGACATTCACATTTGTATCCACCCAGGTTGTTCTTACACGTGTGACTACAGTCGCCGTTCCTGACCGCACATTCGTCATCGTCTTGAAATTAATATGAAATTATCAAAACATTAGAACATAATGCTGCATTGCTATTCAAAGTGGTGTTCTCTGGGGTGCTGCTTTCTTCTACTTCCGCTACTACTACTACTACTACTACTACTACTACTACTACTACTACTACATTGCTGAACCCACAGATCATCAAATATTTTAAGGGCATTTTGTATAACTTATAACATTAATCTGATCTTACAGGTTGTAGACCAATTTTAAAGTTGCTTATTGTGAGTGTGTATTTTATGTGAAGTCAGAAAGGACTGGGTACCATTTTTGTTAAGAATGTTACATCGTTACAGTACAGTTAACACTGAGAAAATTAATTAATAACCTTCACAAGTCTTTCCGTCGCTGCCCAGAACATAGCCCGCCGAACAGGAACATTTGACACCGCCGTTAACATTCGTACAGGTGTGGGAACAGCCGCCATTGTTAACGGCACAGTCACCGTTGTCTGGAGTGATGACTAATAAGAAAATGTAACACGTGTCTTCCTTTCGTGGCAGTTCAAGTCGAGTACATGCATGGAATTTGTTATTTATTTATTTTTATTTTGTTAAATTGAACTTCATCAGAGCACTAGTGCTGCCGTTTTGAAATGTGACTGACAGACGACAACATGAATAGATACAATTCCTGGAAACAGGCATTACTTGCTTGTCGATTATTGGCTTAACAAAGTATGGTACTGGGTGTAAACATCTTGGCATTGTATTTATGCACTTTGCGTGGAGCCATGAGGGCAAAGTTATAAAACCTGCTCCGTTACACACTTGGCGTTCTACATTACAAATTTCTTTGTACTTGTAAATATCAATTTTTTCGCCTTAAGTATTTTAGGTATCATTCCAAGCACAACTTGATTCGCGGATCTTAGTCAAATCTAATCAGTGTCTATGAGGGGATTAGGCGGCATGCTTTAAAGTGAGTCGGCCATATTTGATTCGCGGATCTGTTACTCCGCGGAAAAACTTGTTCAGAATACGCCCTCAGCTAAAAATGGAGCCAAAAACTTAAAAGAGATCAGTCTTACCCCTGCAGGTCAGTTGGTCATCCTCGAGTTCATATCCACTCGGACATTCACATTTGTATCCACCCAGGTTGTTCTTACACGTGTGACTACAGACGCCGTTCCTGACCGCACATTCGTCATCGTCTTGAAATTAATATGAAATTATCAAAACATTAGAACATAATGCTGCATTGCTATTCAAAGTGGTGTTCTCTGGGGTGCTGCTTTCTTCTACTTCCGCTACTACTACTACTACTACTACTACTACTACTACTACTACTACTACATTGCTGAACCCACAGATCATCAAATATTTTAAGGGCATTTTGTATAACTTATAACATTAATCTGATCTTACAGGTTGTAGACCAATTTTAAAGTTGCTTATTGTGAGTGTGTATTTTATGTGAAGTCAGAAAGGACTGGGTACCATTTTTGTTAAGAATGTTACATCGTTACAGTACAGTTAACACTGAGAAAATTAATTAATAACCTTCACAAGTCTTTCCGTCGCTGCCCAGAACATAGCCCGCCGAACAGGAACATTTGACGCCGCCGTTAACATTCGTACAGGTGTGGGAGCAGCCGCCATTGTTAACAGCACATTCATCTTTTACTGAAAATAGATGCCAAAGTTACAATAAAATCACTTGTATGCGTAAATTGCATCATGTTTATTTGAGGAAAACAACCCCAAATCAGCGACATTATTTCAAAATAGAATCAAGACACTAGTCCTTAAAATACTGATATGAGTCTTATACCAAAACATGCAAAGTGCTATGAGTGGCCGTACCCCTGCAGGTAAGTTGATCATCCTCGAGTTCATATCCACTCGGACATTCACATTTGTATCCACCCAGGTTGTTCTTACACGTGTGACTACAGTCGCCGTTCCTGACCGCACATTCGTCATCATCTAAACCATAATATAAGACGGTGAAGTCATGAGAAAGTCATCTTTCGTACTGTAGTAGTTTTTAAAGAAACACCCCGTATTTTTTGGGGGATGTTGCTCTCCTCTTTTACATGTGTACCAACTACTACTATACTACAGCCGCTTCTGCTACTGCTAATGTTATTACCACTTCTTCTTCTTCTTCTTCTTATAATAATAATAATAATAATAATAATAATAAAAACAGTCGAATCTAGAGAAAAACAAATATTTTATTGGCAATTTCTACAACTCACTTTCCTACACTTATCTTTGAATATATACACAGATTGTGGACAAATTTCAAAGTTGATGATTATGGGTATGCACTTAATGTGAGATAAAAAGGACTAGGTGCCAGTTTTGCCAAGAATGATACATCGCTACAATAAAAAACCAAGCAATCACCTTCACAAGTCTTCCCGTCGCTACCCAGAACATACCCCGCCGAACAGGAACATTTGACACCGCCGTCCGCATCCGTACAGGTGTGGGAGCAGCCGCCATTGTTAATAGCACAACCAGCTTTTTCTGAAAATAAATGCCAAAGTTAAAAAACATCATTTGCATGCATAAATTGCATTCTGTTCATTTCAGGAAAACAATCTACTATCAACAAGGTAATGTTGAAGGCGTATCAGGAAAAGCGTCGTCCATGAAGTAATGATACGCGGCATCTAAGAAAAGGGCCACTGTACCCCTGCAGGTGAGCTGGTCACCCTTGCGTTCATATCCACTCGGACATTCACATTTGTATCCAGCCAGGTTGTTCTTACACGTGTGAATACAGTCCCCGCATCTATCATCACATTTGTCATTATTGTTCAATATAATAATTTGAACTCGGTTACCTAAAACACTGCACAGTTGGCGGCAACCGAATGTTTGTTTTCTGGAGTGTCGTCTATTTCAGATGAAGTTCATCGAAGATTCCCTTTTTACATTTTGTAATGTTGACTTACACTGTATTTGAACAATTGGCACTTACGGCAATTAGCCGGACCACTGTCGTAAACTCCGGCGGACAGACATTCTATTGCCTTAATTGCTGTTCCATCATCCATGACGTTTCCCAAAACACAGCTATAGGTGACCACCGTGCCTTCAGGTACTGGTGCAGGACCATTGTAATCGATAACAGCATTTATTCCGTCCAGGGGTAGTGGACATCCAGGGTCTACAAATAAAGCGTGTCCAACTCAACAAAAAATAAAATGAAGGCAAAACAAACTTGCTGTTGTTAATTTGGGTTGCCTTCAAAATGCCAACGTACCTTCAAGTGAAATGTACAGAAGATTATTTTAGACGTTTTGTGTTTCTGACTTGGCTTAATACAAGAATGATCACTCACGGCAATCAGCTACAGCTTTGTCGTATGTCCCATCTTTCTGACACGTTATCATGTCAGTTGACGCTCCACCAGGTATGTAGTGTCCGTCACGGCAGGTATAGGTGATAATAACGCCTACAGGTACTGGTCCACTACCAGTGTAATCATGGTCTGAGTTTACTCCGTCTATTGGTGGTGAACATCCAACCGGGGGCTCTAGGATAAGAATCAAAGAATCAAACTCAGCTCAACAAAACAATAAGTCAACATGACATTGTTTTTTTTTTTTGAATAAACAATGATGAAATGCCATTTTTAGTGTTACTCCACGGAATGATAAAGTGTCAGAATATCCGTCAAATATCCTTGAGATAACACTGTCATACATATTGAAAGTATTTTGATATATCCTGGTCATGAATTATACCTTCTTCCCTACATGTAGATGTATATGTATATGTATCAACTTTAACTGTGGGGCTGACTATTTATTTTTAAATTATTTATTAAATTCAGATTGTGAGTACTGCACGGAAACATCATATGGCATGATGGCATATTATATGAAAAACCGCACTCTGTTTGGCAAACTATGCTATAGAATATAGCAAATACCCAAACCCTATATCTGTATGGTCTTTCAAAAAAGCCTCGTTCTCACACTACACTAAAATGTCTGACTTACCAGAAAGTCTGACTTACTTTGTTCACAGCGGTCGCCATAGTAACCTGTTAAACACTGGCACAGACAGGTGAAGCCATTGTCGTAAGGTGTGCCGCCATTCTGACACGTGACTCCCGCGCACATGTCAGCCACTGAAATACAGGTACACGTCATGATACTGAGAGAGCGCGGACTTCACACAGATGAAACTATTAAATGGATCATATGAGAAGATAACAAGAGCAACAGCCGCAAAAAAATAATAATAAATAAATAAATAAATAAATAAATAAATAAATAAGAATAACAACAACAACAACAACAACAATAATAATAATAATAATAATAATAATAATAATAATAATAATAATAATGTACACTGATTTGAGTATATAGGTAAATTAATATCAAATAAAATGTTCAAAATGACTACATACCTAATTAACCAATATCATATTTATCATTTTATGTGTAGATAATACATG